ATTCCCGTGTTTGCAATCATTTTTTTTTCTGTAGATAGGTCATTTAGGCAGCACAGGTCTTCCAAAACGAAGGTTTAAATCCTGGTCTGATGGATAATTTCTCATCCTTCTCAAATAGAATAATTTGTCCATCAGTGACAGAGCAAGGTCGCATCTTAGCGCATTGTACCTTACAGTTGTATCTTGTATTGTCTTCGAAACTATGGTATGCTTGCCCTACTTATAACGTCATAATTTGACTTCATGCGGCGAGCTCTAAACAACAAAGCTATGCATATAAGATTTAAGATGCCAGTGCTATATTTGTTATGGTCTATTCTCCTTCTTGTGAAATACTTCTGCATCAGAACAATTAATGGCGTGTTACTTAGGCTTAACTTTCATCGTGAACTGTCTATTAACCGCACTGCTCCGACCTACCGCTAGAAAAGGGAATCAAATAAACGTCTGTAATGATAGTATCTGAAGGGTCGATATCTCCGCTGTTGCCAGGTGTTCTTTTTTCATAGGTGAAATTTGCTTAGAAAAAACAATATGCCGTTTTTCTATCATATTCTCCTTCCGAACCAGTTGAAAGATGTTGGACATGTTAACTTTCTGTTTCCTCTAAATAGGACCACATCACCTGCACCGCGCATCTTTAATTAGTCTTATTCTTTGACAAACTCAGTGCTAGCCTTGGTAAGATCCATGCCTTAAAAGAATTCTTGTTTTATTGTCTGTGCTATTAAGTCGTTTCCATTTTGTAGTTCGCATCTTAAATATGCATAATACAGTTCTGCCACTATCTCCTTTCCTCATATTCAATATCATTTTGGTATCCAAGGTCTCTAAGGACAATACGAACATCCTTTCTTTCTTGCTCTTAGATGCATATACGGGGGAGAGCATAACCAGATTTAGGACAGACCTAACCCAGCGGTATTTTGTGCAGAAGCGCAATTTCTAGGATAAAATATGAAAACCATGATATCGGTTACAGATACGTATTTCCATATTTTTGTACTGCCATGTTGGTCTCCACACTGGACACGTCATTCTTTGCAAAGGTGTCAATGGCGTATCAGCTGTAGAAGTACAAAAACACAAACAGGCAAGTGGCATGAATCACACAGCGAGTATTACACAGTTGGTTAAACACACACATGGCGGATATATCTGGTCGTCATCGACGAATTCCCAAACCTTCCTCATATCAATCGACCGACAGTGTTATCTGGATTTCGGCGGTATTTTTAATGTCATAAACAAGAATCGTATTTATAACACAGTATATAAGTAATGAATCGATAAAACGAACGAATGAACTGAGAACTTGGCAGAAATAAGAACAAACGAACAATCGTCGCGTCTGAACGTATGCGACTAATCGATTTGCAGGAGCTTAACCAATGCACAGAAGAGCCTACGCGCGGCACTCATAGATTAGAAAGCGACTTGGAGACGACAACTGAGCCTACGTCCATTGGAGTCGGTGCCACCAGGGTCAAAGGGGTGCTACAGACGAGCATCGGCGTGAGGTCGGTGTGCGTGATCGGCGTGAGGCCTGTCGGAGCGTTCAGTGGGTCGAACGGGAAAATCTTAGAGGGCGTCTCCATCGGAATGCCGGGGCTGGTCATGCTCATCGAAATATTTAAGGTGTTAGGCCGACTGATGAAGCAGTCGTTAGAATCCTGACTGTCGGATGCATTTTTGCCCGAGTCGTTCGATAGTACAACCATTGTCAAAGGAGGATCCTTGTTCGATTTTACCACGTCCAATAGCACACCTCCGCGGTCGTTTGTCCGAACGCCCGTCTCGCCATTACTGCCCCCGCCTGCACCACCACCACCACTGGTAACGTGAGCGAGATGCATCGGGCACATCTGTTCGTGGTTCTTCAGCAGGAATTCCAGGTCCATCTTCTGTTGGTCGAGCCGGTCGACTTCATCCTGCCATCGCTTCCTCTCAGCCAAAAGTTTGTCCACTTCCTGAAAATATTACGCGTCAATGATCATAAAAATAACGATATGTAGAAGCTAAGAAATTGTTACTATGATACTGCGTTAGCGGAAGTCATGTAATTACATATTACCTTACTGGCACATTGAAGATATGACAATGCGACGTTCCGTGTAGAATGGGGTCAGCAAAATGAAACTACTCGTTGGTGTATTTTTCTGGCAATCACAGTTTCATGAAACAGCTTAGTCTGAAAAGCCTGTAACACATCTGCTATCCTCGCCGTCGCCATCCTGGTAGCGACTCAAAGACAAAGTACAAGACATATGGAAGAAGAATCAGCTTGAGTTCGTCCTTCGATTATCCATGCCGCGCCATCTCCAAAGCATAAGCAAAGCCAGTTCGTTGATGAACGACTAATGATGACTGTGACAGCATATAAAAATGAAAACATGAAAAATGGTATAGCTTTAGTACTGACACAAAAGTGCAGAGGCGAACGGAATCTGCTAGAGAATATTTCTCTCGTACTAAGGGTTAATCCTCAGGAGCCAATGTACAACGAAACCAAATCCTCTGCGCTCTTGGATATTCTTTACATATTCGTTATATTTATGCTAAGATATAAACGGGTAAACGCGTTGCAGAAATCACGCCACTCTGACTACTACATGGTGGAATGTAAGCGATGTTTGTGCCTGGTCTAAGAGTTTTGTTTTCAGCACTCGATAGGTTGATTTTTCGTTCTGCTGACTAAGTATGGTTAAAGGGATCTTCAGTGCTTCATTGCACATAAGGCTTTAAAATCTTTCAGACACTGACCGACTAATTGTTCTGATCGTAGAGTGATTTTCGAAATTCTATTCGATCCGTTGACGTTGATGTTAATGAGAATCGCACAGCCGGCGCTCGCAGCCTCACGAAATATGAATAATTCTGAATTCATTAATATTTAAATATTTAACTAGCGTTTCGGTAGAAAAACGACATTTCTAACTACTCTTTGAAGCGATATCCTCAAACAGAAAGCGCAGCGATCAGATAACGACAAACGGCAAATCAGTGTACATTGTGCGGTGATGAATAGCAAAGTGTACATAAAATCCAGCTTTAATATCCACATGACGGAAAGCAGGCAGTAAGTACAAAGCAGGGAAGTACGGCGAGCAGGGAATTTCTTCGCTATGAAAGCCTGACATGAACCTTACAATCGTTGGTTAATGTGGCAGTGGCAGACAGGGATTGAAAGAGCTCACTACGCTTTAAGATAAAGCTGTGTAGCACTGACTAGGAACCCCGATTTATCAATCATGTCATGCTTTATGAATCTTCTCTGCGATGAATGACAACATCTGTGTTGTGGCTTCCTCGAATGACAATGCAATCCATTAGTGTGGTGGTGATCCCTTGAATTCAAGGCATTTGTGAAGCTTGCACCAGGTTGAAGAAACGTACGACGTGTCAGACTCCATTCTGCCTGAAATTATGAAAGCTAGGCGACTGTCGATAGTTTCAATTTGATGTTTCTGGAAAGCCGAATACCATTCGAACCAGCGTCTGGTGTCAAAGTGCCTACAGGCATTCTTAAATCCCCCTTTCCTTCTTGAATGGACTTCAATCGCAGAGCGCGCTTCCGATGTTTCATTTGATTTTACGTTGATGTACATTTATTTTCAATATTCATTTTTTCTTCAAATTCTTGCGAAATTAAACTATGCTATTACTTTAATTTAACAGTAAACAACTTATCATCAATTGAGATTCATGACGTCCAAGTAACTTTAGGCATCTAAAAAGTCAAATAATATTTTTAACTACCCGGATAGAATAGTAACGAGCAAAAAATTTTTTTAAAGTTGCTCATTATTTAATAGAACACTAGCATTTGATCTAAATTTAAAAATAAACTACTTTGAAACAGTACCATGCCACATATTAGCGGTCAAAGCTGCAAAGCAGCCCAGAGATTTACTGAACGACAATAAATTTAAATACGGGCATGCGTCGGATATGGATCATCAATGAAACGTTAAGAGATCATGCTTATACCGATTCATATGGAAACAGGGTACCCAAATACGAAAGAACTGCTGAACCATGAATCAAGAAAAGAAAAGGAACAATAAGTCTTATTTTTAAGGCTCCTAGCTTTCGCGATCCAGTTCCCATTGCGTTTAATCTTTTCTGAACTTGTCTATTATGATAACCATAGTGTTAATTATCTTCCAATTCCTCTCATGTTTTCGGTCCTTTATCGTCTTAAGCTCCTGAAACTTCTTTAACCCCCTTATCATCATCTTCGAAAGTACCTTTATCATAATCATTTTTCTCTTCTTTTCTTCCTTCATTTTTATCATTCCATTTTTCTTTTCGCGTTTTTTTCCTCCTGAGTTATTACTCTTTCAGCAGCATTGAAAGACTATGTGCTGGTCACGCATATTCACTAGCGAGATGTGTTATTGTAAAGTAATAACTTCTTAAAAGTGACGGTGTTTCTGCGCTACCAAAATGATGATGACTGAATGCTGCCGTTTCTTGTTCGTAGTAAGCAGCGATCGACATTTCTGCAAACCGAACAAATGAACGAGTTCCCAAACGAGGTTTTCGCTGCGTCATGCATACACGACGCCTTTCACTCAAAACGCGGACCAAATCCAGTATTACAGTTGGTTTACACAACCGCTGACAGTACGACCTCTCGTAACCCTTGAAAGCGAGGTAGTTAAAGTCTTGAAGGCCACCAGCAAGCACGCGGCATAACCGACATTTCGGATGTGGTACTTAAGTGCAATAAACAAACAGCTGTATCCGTAAGTGTGACCGAGTCAAGTGTCAACAGCGCCCTTAACGACGCCGCTTTGTGTAAACGCATCAGACGACGACGTGCGACGATGCATTTGAATCGGCGAATCGGGGTCTGTTCTCTTCCCACCTCCACCGGCGACAAGAATTTCGTTGAGGTCAACGGAGGCACCGCCACAACAAATAGGCAAACAAAAACAAACAACCTTCATACAAAAAACGTGCTATGACGTCATCGACGATGAGAAAACAACATGTTTCGACGCGTTTTTTCTGTCTCTCTCCAATGAACAAACCGGAAACAGCGGAAAAAGCAGACACAGGAAATAAGATTGATTGATTGACGAACAGTTCATTCATTCATTCATAGTTTTATGGCGAGGCGATTTCACTTCCATGATGCCAACGAAAGCAAAAAACAAAAAAAAACAATAGCCAAATCTTCAAAACGAAATGTCTCAGGTTTGCTACACCAGTGCTTCGCTTGGAGATGCACGGAATGCCTTAATCGGGGAACCTAGCGACATCATTCTTTTGAAACTTTTTAAGCAACAACGTTGGAACCAGTAGAAAAGATTTACTTTTTTGGTAGATAAACGAAAATCAAAGAAGGAAAGCAAAATGACCCGTTTGAAGAGTACCTCACTCAAGCTTCACTGACTGCCAGTGTCTCGACTGGGAATCAGTGATTAAAAAAATTTCTGTGATACGTCACGGGTGAACGAACACACTATAAGTCTGTGTAGACACCTTGTTGGATTTCGACAACGCTCGCTACACACTACAGAGCACCTAGAACCATTTTATATTATAACAGTATGTACTACTAAGTTGATCTGAAATTTGCAAAAAATGAAATTTCATACAACTGTATAGGTACCATGAAAAAGGACGGCTTAGAAATAAGGCATTCTGAAGTTAGCTAACACTTTGATTTCTAGTTTATGTCATAGAGCGAACCATATTTTATCACACTAAGATGGTGCTGGAGACTTTTTGGGTAAATTATAAATAATAAGCAAGATGGATTTCAGGGATGCTCGTTCGTACAAAATGCAACAGATCCTCGGCCTAGGCAAACGTCGACTGTATAAAATGGAAGCCCAGAGCCGCCTTCCAATGCTACTTTCATATAATTGCCGCAGTAACTGCAGGAAGAGACGAAATCTTTTTTGCCTAATTACGAATTATGAAGGTATGATAATTAATTGGCGATAGTGGCGCAATGGATTAGCAGTCTGCTTAACATACTGTAGATTCGGGATTCAAAACCGACGCATAAATTTTATCTCACTATTGCTTAATATCCTCGAGTCAGAAATTCACCCTATTGTGTATCGATGCAACGAGCCGAAAAAATGGGCAGTTGGTCGTCGGATTGCGAATAATATCGTCACAGATGGTGTGTATACGAAAATTAAGTAGTTAATGAACTGATGGTCACGAAAAAACAGCACAAAACACTATTCGTTTATGCGCAACTCGAACATAATGGTCAATCGGATAATTGATGGCAATCAGTCGAGTTGTCGAATCACTTTTAACTTCCGTCAAACGAAAATAAGTTCTATAGAAAATTTTTAAAGTTCGTAATAAATTTTAAGCAAGTTTCAGAAGATAGTAAAATTTCGAATAAACCATCTTACTTACTACTTATCTCACTTGTGTGATTCAGTGTAAATATGGAAAGCGATCATGATAAAGGGGGGGGGTAAATCTATTTCACTGTCACGGTAGCCACAAAGTTTGACTTAAATCGAGAAAAGGTTGGTTAACAGTAATAACCAAATCGTTCACAGAACCTCGCATGACGTGAATCTGTCTGTCTTAGAAAAGTAAGTATATTTCAAGAACTGCAAACAGGCACAAGGAAGGATGAGAAAGTACCGTCCGTACTTATCGCAGAACAATAGGGAATGAAGTACAGTAAAATCGAACATTGCAGCACAGTAAATCATCTATGAATGATTAAAGAAACAGGTATGCACGACTGCAATGGAAGAAGTCCAAACAGTAAAGAATAATAAATCACCAAAACAGAAACTAAACAGCAGAATTACGCAAGTCCCTGTACAACAAGATTAATCGTACAACACCCTATGAAATTTCTCGACTGAATTTTATCGCGACAACTTATACGTTATTAGTTATAACATCGCAACTGCTTATTATTCTGTTCTCGCTATGCTTTTATCAACATTTCGTTAAACGAATACATTTGATGACGTTAAAGCATGCAAGGAGTAGCAGATCATGAAGCATAACTTGTAAACGTCTCTGAACTACTGCAAACAATTAAATGACACCACGTTTAATCGTGCATCGATCCCAGGAGCTAAAATACGGTACAGAGTACTTCGTTTATATGACCCAGGAAGTGGGAAGAACAAAGAGTGTAGCTATATTGCACAGTTGTCCGGCTAAGCTGACATCCTGTGTTACATTTTTGTCAAACTCATATTTAAAAGTGTTACATGTACAGTACAAGTAACGGCCTTTC